ATATATATATATATATATATATAGAACCATGACTCTGCAGGTATTAGGGATTAAAAGTCATATTTGGTAATTTTAAGTTAAGCTCATTTCATGTTTAACAAAACGAGTCATTAAAGCTGAGGAGCTTCAGTGTACTTTCCCTCTTGTTTAAGGCCTTAATCTGCTCCGTGTATAAGTCGGCTGCTGCTGGCTTAAAGTTGAGGTTAATTAGTGTTTAAAGAAACGGCAGGATCAGCTCAGATTCAGCCAACTAACGGTGGACTGAATCACGCAAGCAATGTTTTTAATTTGTGTCGTTTTCTTGTTAATCTACAAAACTTACAGCTAATCCGACTGATGACTCAAGGCCTTTGCTTTTGTTTTGTCATATTATCTTTGAGTATTGTTTGATGTTTTCCCACTTCTGAATTCACAGGATTACTCGTTAATTTCACAGATTTCCTGTAAACATTCAACATAATCTGTTTCAAGGTGGGTGGCTAACTAGGTTTGACTGTAAAGCTGCTCTACTGAAGTCGTCCAGTAAAGATTATAATTATTATTACTCGGCTAAAAGGAATTCAAGAAAAACCAGAAAGAATAAAGAAAAAAATAATCCATGGGAAAAGACTGGTGTGTGTAACTGTGTAACACAACAGTCAGTAATCTCCTGTAGCAAACTTGGAGTTATCTAATCCTCCCACTTCTTATCTTAAAGAATGATGTTTTCAAGGACTTTATGTGTTTGTTTTATTCCTGTTGTGTCCCCTCAGTCTAATGTGACCAGAATTATACAATAACGAATGTAAACCACTCTTTTTTTTACTCTTAATTCTTAGTTTATCCGAGCCATAATTTCTGAATCGGACTGGGTAGTCCTCATGTCAGACCTGCGTTTGTCTGCTTGGGTTTTCAGGAGCTGCGTTCCAGGGAAGAGGAGCTGACACGGGCCGCCCTCCAGCAGAAGTCTCAGGAGGAGCTGCTGAAGCGTCGAGAGCAGCAGCTGGCCGAGCGGGAGATCAACGTGTTGGAGAGAGAACTCAACATCCTCATATTCCAGCTCAACAAAGACAAGCCCAACGTGAAGAAGAGGAAAGGCAAATTCAAACGCTCACGCCTTAAACTGAAGGATGGAAACCGCATCAGCCTGCCATCAGGTGAGCAGACGAGGACACGATTATTTTTTTTACTCTGAATTGCACATTTCTGAACGTCAAAGAGAATTTATCATTGAAAATACAGCAGATACTAATTATTAAAATAACTTTTTTGCACCCGTTCGTCTGTTCATGTCACATCCTGCAGACTTTCAACACAAGATCACCGTGCAAGCGTCGCCTTCCATGGACAAGAGGCGTAGCCTCCACTGCACCAGCTCCTCTCCTCCCAGCAGTCCCACACTCATCCCCCGACTGCGAGCCATTCAGCGTAGGTTCAGTTTCTTCGTCCTCAAGTTGGCTCTTTTGCCAAGTCTGAATGTTTCTGTTTTGTTTCATGGAGCATTCTTTGCCCCTATGAGGTCAGATCTGCTTATTTAAACATGTGAGGATTGAAGGAGTCCCATCAGCTCTCTGGGAGTTTCATGGGAACAGAACATGGAGACAGTATCTTTCACAATGACAGGAGTCAGGAGAACAAAAGGCAGAGCTGCAAGCAGTCAGCCAGTTGTTTAAACAGTGACAAGACTTTAGTCACGCACCAACGCCCTTGTAATAACTGGAGCAAATTCCTCCTGTGCATTTCTGCTGGATGGAGATATTCAGTGTGTGTGGGTTGTTGTAGAGTTACACAGCGTCTCTGCTGTCCGATAATTTAATAATGAAACATTAAAATCTGCAGGCATCAAAACACCCAAAAACATTGATGTATTTACCCCTAGAGACGCTAAAATTCTGCTGAATAATTAGCTTTAACTTCTTATAATAAAAGTTAGATCTAAAGCAAACAAAGCATTTGAAAAAAAGATGTTTAACACAAATACTAAGGAACCATATTTTTCACTTTAATTCTTTCCAGAGGACATAAAATGTGAATACTAAAACACATTTGATATTTTTTTTTGTTTGTGCCTCCCTATGATCTTCCTTTTAGCTCCACATACTAAACTGTTGAGTTAATGTTGTCTAAAGTTTCAAGCAAAACATTTTTAAAAACTTCATTACTTCTGTGGCAAAGGACTTTTATATTTTTACAAAGTTCATCTTTATGGTCCAATATTAAAAATTAGTACCGTAATTCTCTGAAGAAATGTATGTTTTTTGGACAGATGGGCTCTTCTTGCATGTGAAACGCCTGATTTGGAGATTCCAACAGGAGGTTGGCTTGAAACACAGCAGTGAAGGCTGCCTAGGGGACAGACATGGTTGGCAGGCCGTAGACTGAGGAAGTCCTCCGGATGGAGGACGAAACGTTTCTCACTTAAAGAACTGGTCCAGATGACATGATTGAACCTTTTTTTGTTATCTACCTGGACGATTGAGCTTACAAACCTTTTTTTTAATGTTTTTTAGGATCGTCTTTTTAAACTTTTTGATGTGAAACAACTGGATAACTTAGTCTCACTCATAACTTTGGGGGTTCTTTGTAAATGTATAAATATAACTTCTGCAATATATTTTGATGAGTGGTAAAGTTTTATTGTATGACAGCATTCTACATTCACTCTGCATCTTATTTATTTTAAGTTTGTTAAATTAGCAAAGATTGTCCCGTGGGAAATGACTTTAAAATGAGTCTACTTTAATGTAAGGATACTTTGGAATAAAGGAAAACAGAAAGCAATCAATTTAAGAAAAAAGTTACTCTTAACAGGTGATTATGATGCTGTTAATCCTATTAGCATGTCCATATCAGACATTAATGGCTGTGCTCTCCTCCCAGCAGTTTTCAGCAGCTGTTTGAGTTTGTAGTTACAATAGAAACCTCTGTGTTCACAGTAACCCAAGATGAGAGCAACCGTACGTGGGGCCGCAGCTCCCTCTCCAGGCCAGAGGAGTTCGATGACGTGAAAAAGGGAATCAAGAAGAAAGGAAGAACATGGGGCCCCAGTTCAGTGCAGAGCAAAGAGAGGCCTGCTGCAGCTGAGAGGTAGGATTCACTCACAAGCATTTATTTTGAGTCTCACAACCTCTGCTTAGATCATTTGATTCCTGCGGGTCTCATTTCCTCATCAGTCAGTTTATCTCTGAGCTGTATCTGTCTGCTGATGACTCGGCTACAGATTGAGTTGTGACAACCAGAGCCTTCTGGCTTCACATCAGCTCACAGAACAGCTTTCACTTAACAACTTGAGCCTCGTGGATTTACAAAAAATATATATTTATATATCCGCATTTTAATAAAAAAATTATTATTATTATTTTTAATTTTTATTTTTTTTTGGTAAATTAGAGCGTTTACCTTATAATAGTCTTGGTGCAGCTTATTTGCATGTCTAATAACAACAAAGCACAACAATTTCCTGCGGGATCAATAAAGTTCTATCTAATATTGTCTTAATCTTTAGACCTAGGTTAAAACTTACCGTACTTGCCGCCATACACGTCGCACCGCCATATAAGTCGCATCTAGTATGAGTCACCGCTGACCACCCAGAAACGTGGGCCGGTGTTGTGCCCAAAATCGATTGGCTGCCAAATGGCAGTCGCGGGAGCATGCACGGAAGGACTTGAACAAGAATTTAACAAGATTAACACTTAAAAACGGCAGCACGGTGGCGCAACTGGTAGAGCTGCTGCCTCTCAGCGAGCAGGTCCCTGGTTCAAACCCCGGTCCAGGGGCCTTTCTGGGTGGAGTTTGCATGTTCTCTCCGTGCATGCGTGGGTTTTCTCCGGGTGCTCCGGTTTCCTCCCACAGTCCAAAAACATGCATGTTAGGCTGATTGGTAACTCTAAATTGTCCCTAGGTGTGAGTGAGAGAGTGAA